CTCTTTCATGGGCTTCCAGTCTGAGCCCCTTCCCCTGAGGCAGGCCAGCGCCTCAGTCCCTGTGCTAAATGGAATAGTGGCCCCCACATTCGGGTCCACTGGACACTGCACGTGGCCTTCTTTGGAGCCAGGGTCTCTGCAGATGTCAGCAAGCTAAGCTGAGGTCGCAGTGGATTAGGATGGCTGGAAGCCCATGATGGCTAGTGTCTTTATAAGAAAAGGCGAACTGGGGACCAGCAGGTGGCATGGTGGTTAAGGCACTGGACACGCCCACATGGCCAGCCACGGCTTGAGTCCCAAACCTGGTGGCTTGCTTCTTCACTTTCCTTCTCTCTGCGTGTCTATCTTTCTCTGGTCAAATTAAAATAAATGAAAGAATAAATAAAATTAAATAAATGATTCTTTTTTTAAAAAAAGGAAAACTGGCTGCAGACGCACAGGCCACGTGACTGTGGAGGCAGAGACTGGAGTGCTGCACCTCCAAGTCAAGAGACAGCCGTGCGCACCCAGGTGGGGCGAGGCAAGCGGAAGTTCCCTCCTCGAGTCCTGAGAGAGAAGGAACCCACCTGTGCTCTGATCTCGGACTTCCAGCCCCAGGCCTGGGAGACGGGAATTCCTGATGCTCCGAAAAGATACCTGCTGTTCCGAAAAGACACCCAGTTTGCGGCTGTTTATTACAGTGGCCCAGGAGACTGACAGACTGCTCATGCAAGGGACCGGGCTGGGGACCTTCGTCCCCCCAGTGGGCTGTAGGACCTGGCCAGGTCAACGTCTCCTCTCGGAACCTCGGTCTCTGCTGTGGGGAGACCCTGCCCCACTCCAACCTGCACTTCGAGCATCATTGCGGTTGACTGTTTGTGAAGGGGCCGGCTCTCAAAATCCGTCAGGGCAGAGGACAGTAACTGTCATTTGTTCACTCAACGATGTGTATTCCGTCCTCGTGCCAGACACTGTTCCAGGCTCCACAGGGGCCGGGGAGAGGAGGGTTTGTCTTCGTGGCGCTCACGGTCTGCACAGGGTGGCGAGAGTAGAGAGGGAGAGAGCAAGCACACCGCTAACTGGATCACTTCGCGGGAGCGTCACGACTTGGGGCTGGGGAAGAGGTTTACCTCAAGCCTTGGTGGCGATCTTGCTTCCAGGGCTTTCCTCGAGCTCAGGCCAGGTCCCTTTGCCGTGGTTGAGTGTCCACCATTACTCCCCTCTCTAGCTTCAGAAGGCCCTGAATTAAAAGCATAGGAACATACTGGGCCTCCCCCCACCCCCCAGCCTAATGGTTAAGGGATCCACATGGTGGATTCCAGCCACCGTGGCTTGTTTTTTTTTTACACCTGAATTGAGACCAGCAGTTGGGATAATGGCTATGTCGCTGGACTCCCATGTAGTCGACTGCAGTTCGAGTCCTGGAACCGGTGGCTTAAAACTCACGCGGGGCAAGTGTGCGTGCGTGCCCAAGATCCCGAGAGGAGAACGGAGGAGAAGGGATTGCGGCATGGCTATCCCCCCTGGGGGGTGATTTCTCACTTTCTGTCTCTCTGCCTCTCTGGCGAGCGCACGTGCCCTATAGCAAAAACCTCTCCAAAAAAAGAAAAAATATATTTTATTTAACTTTATTTATTTACTTATTTTAATTTGACCAGAGAGGGACAGAAAGAGCCAGAGAGAGGGAAAGTGAGAAAGCAAGCTGCCAGGTCTGGGACTTGAACCAGGGTGAGAGTCCAGTGCCCCTAACCACCACGCCACCTTACTGGCTCCAAATTTTAAGCTGCCGATTCTGGGACGTCAGCCCCACTGGCTTGAGAAACACACCAGGCGCATGTGTGTGGGCTTCCAAAATCTCGACAGGATGGAGAAGGGATTGCTTTGTGCCCACACTCCATTGAGGGGGTGCTTTCTCCTCTCCGGCTGAGGCTGAGGTAGATCGTGGTATCGGAACCCTGTAGGAGGGGCTAGTTCTCGTGCTCTCTCTCTCTCACTCTCTCTGCCTCTCTTGCTCATGAAATAAATGAACTTTAAAAAAGAAAGAAAGAAACAAATATCCAGATGACACCGCGACCCTGCTGACCGAGGGAAGCCCCATCTCTGGCCGGCTGCCCCCCGGGGCTGTCTGCGCTGTGCGGGCTTTGGGGCCCTTGCCCACACTTTCGAAGGCCTCTTTCGGCATTTTGCAGCTGCTCTCCCCATGGCAGCCCTGCACCCAGGCTGTGCTGATCAATGGCTGGGCGGCTGCCAGGAACATAGGACGTCAATTGTGCAAGACCTCCTGCTTTTCAGACTGGCCAGCTACCAGCCTGCCGGGGCCAGGGCCCAGACCACCTGGCCTCCATTGGTCAGAGACCAGGGCTCAGGGTCTCTTTACTCTCACCTGGGCCGTCTCTGCTCCCAGCCTGAGCGCTTCTCCCCTGGAAAGTTTGCAGGGTGGGGGCCTGGAGGGAGGAGAGAACATTATCTGGGGCTGGGGCACGGGGCCTGGGGCAAGGCTGAGGACCAGAAGCCGGGGAGGGGAGGTGCCTCCTACCCAGAATCCCTTCCAGCCCTACCCTGGGCCCTTCTGCCCCAGCCCAGCCCTTTCCCCACCTGGAGACGGGGCAATACCAGCTGGGGTCTGAAGCCATGTGTGTGCGGGCCTTCATCACGGACAGACACACCCCTCAGGACACACAGCTGCGGACGCACATACCTGCAGCGGGCCCCACAGAGCACGAGCCAGAGAAGGGTGTGTGCACATGTGTGCATTAAACACACGAGGTGCCACAGAGCCTGGCCTCGGCTGGCCTTGGAACACAGGCCGACCTAGCCCTGAGACAGCTGCGGGCGCCATCACACCAGGACAGATCTCTGCACACCTCCTGCAATGCCGGGCCTTCACGCTCACCTTTTCTTTTTCTGTCTTTCTCTTTTAATTGCCAGAGGCATGTGAGCTTTCCAGAGAGAGAGAGAAACGACCCCTAGTGGGGCATGGTCACACTGCAACCCCTTTTCTTCCGTCTCTCGGCCCCTCAGGATTTGGGGCATGCGTGCACATGTACCGCCATGTTCCTAAGTCACCGAGACTGGGAATCGAACTGCAATCAGCCATGTGAGATGTGGCTCCCTAAGTAACCACTACACTACAGGGCAGTCGGGCCTCTTCTTGTTCTCAAGGGGTTGGGGGGTGGGTAACTTTTTGCCTTTAGAATATGAGGAAGCCACAGGTCAGAGGAACCCAGTGACCTGCCCAGGTACCCACAACTGAAAGGGGCCAGTGGGGCTGGACGGTGTGGTAGCAATACACCACGACCCTCTGTGGGGCAGACCCACGTGGGAAGGTCGCCAGTTCCCATCCAGAGATGCTGAGGCAGGCCCATGTGAGAAGGTCGTCAGCTCCTGTTTGGAGACCCTGAGGCAGACCCACATGGGAAGGTCACCAGTTCGCATCCGGAGCCCTCCCTATCTACACAGGCTCACCTTCCCCATGCTTTGGGCTGGCTGAGGCTGGGGGTGGATTGTGGCAGCGGGACCCTGCCAGGGGTGCTGTATCGCATCTCCGCCTGTGTCTCCGTCACTTGAGGAATATGCAGGTAAACTTTTCTTAAAACTGTACTCACTTAACACTTGTGACAAAGAAAAACTGAAGGAAGGGCCTGGGCTAAAAACCCACACCAGGGTCTCCCCCCACAGGCCTGATGCCCCATCTCAGTGACGCACGTGTCACCCCCATAGCCCTCGCACTCCACACATACACCCCCACACCGTGCACACACATGCCCCTTACTCCGTGTGCACACGTACATACCTCCTACTCTGTACACACATGTGCGCTTCACATATGTCTGGTCCACATACGTATCCCAAGTGCGTACACACACACACACACACACACACACACACACACACATGCTGGGCCCACGTGCACCCTGCACACGAGGTCTCAGCTGTGCACACCACACTCTGGCCTCAGGATTACACTGACCGAGAGCTGACCCACTTACTGAGGCCAGCACCTCCCGGCCTGTTCACACCCAGGAAACCCTGGTTCCCAGCCTGTGCTTCGGCGCACGCGCAGGCCCAGCCCCACCTCTCTGCGCCAGCATCCTTTAGCAGAAGCACAGTGTGAGTCCAGCTCTTATCCAAGTTTTCTAGCAGTCACACTAAAATGCAGAAGAGGGCCAGTTGGTGGTGTGGTGGTGACGGCATCAGGATCCTACACGGCTGGCTGTGCGGTTTGAGTCTCAGACCTGGCAGATTAAAAATCGCACGTGTGCGTGCATGCCCAGAATCCTGATAGGAGAATGGAGAAGGGATTGCAGCGTGGCCATCCTCCCCGGGGAGTGCGTTCTCTTTTCCTCTCTCTGTCTGTCTCTGATGAGCACATACACCCTATTGCAAACAAACAAACAAAAACGCAGGAAGTGGGTGACATGTATTACGATCGTACGTTTTATTTAACCGAAGGTAACCCAAAGGTGGTCATTTCCACGTCAGTCAGCGCGAATGCTGTCACAGAGGGAGTCCACCTTGTTCGCACCTGGTCTTGGCAATCTGCTCCTCCACGTGCAATCTGTCTCAGTTCAGACCCACCACATGCCAGCTGCTCAAGATCCACATATGGTTAGTGGCCACAGCTCTGTGGAATCAGATAGTCACTCAAGTAATTCCCAGCCAGAGGGAAAATGGCACAACCCGCCTCCTCCCTCTTCTCCTCTCCTGTCCCCAGAGTACGTGGGCCCAGTCTCCTTTCTCTCTTACCGCCAGCAGCTCCTCCAGGCTCACGTGTTCAGGTAAGTGGACACTGAGCCTCTGCCCACCTGCACGGGCCTCTGCACAGCCCCTGGTTCTCAGCTGCCCCTACCTCCCACTCTCAGGGACCAGGGGCTGTAACCAGGCAGGAGTGTCACCAGGCAACGGGCCCTGGGGAGAGCTCAGATCTCTGCACCTGCCACCAGCCTCCGGGGTGCCCACGGGGCGGGGTGTAGCGGGGTGGGGCGGGGCAAGCCCTGCTTGTCTCCTGCCTCCTGCTGTTTACCTGAGTCTAGTCTCAGTGTTGTCCCAGACCCAGCAGAAGGCCCATGGAGCCTGGGGCCACAGGCCACAGGGGACAAGGGCCACACACCCTGGCCATGGCTCCAGGCCATTGATCCATCCAGGCCTGGCCAGGTGGGGGCAGGGAGACCTTGGCCTGGACAAACAGAGGTTTGAGAGGCCTACGTGCAGGCCCGGCACCCACTTGTCACTCCCAAAGGTAAGTGGGGTCCCCAGGACAGAGGACGAGGAACTATGAATGATCTGGCAACCATGCCCACTCTGAGAGCCAGGCCTGGCCCCCCTGGGGCTTGCGGCATCTGCCCTGTCCCAAGGCCAGATTTGCAAGGCCTCACAGACCAGAGAGTGGCCCATGCACAGGAGACAAGGGGCCCACAGAGCTGGCCGGGGAGAGCAGGGTGGAGTGAGGGCAGGTGCGTGGGTAGGCATGGGGCAGTACCAGGGCTGAGTGGCCGGGGTTCAGGTGGACAGGGACCTGGGGAGAGGTCCGATTGATCTGGCTGGACAGGCCACCCTCCACGGCCAGGCACTCTACCTGGGCATTCCAGTGTGGGAGGCAGGCCCAGAGCCCACGCTGCACCCATGACTGACCTATGCATGGACCCTGGGCTGAAGAATGCAGAGTGGCCTCCGTGCGTGCACACACGTGTGTTCTAAGTGTGCATCTCCGAGTTTGTGTGTCATAAGTAGGTGTGTGTGTGTGTCCCTTGGTGTGTGTGCATGAGTTTGTAAGTGTGTCCATCTGCACGGAATGGACTCCCCCGTGGTCCCCATACTTGGGAACACTCAGTCACACCGACTCAGAGCAGGGATGCGCTCTAGGCCTGAGTGGCCTCGCTGGGGTCCTTGCTGCCTCCTGGGGTCCTTGGCCTACAGCCCCTGCTCTGCCTCGCTCTGTGCTGAGTGACCTCGGGTGAGTCATTTCTTCTCTCCGTGCCTCAGTTTTCCTAACCGTTCAATGGAGACAGTGCAGCAAGCATTCCAGGCAGCTGGAGGCTGAACTAGGACAGGGCCTGTGGCATTGCCCAGCTTATGGTGGGCATTCATATGTGGCTGACTCCACTGCACTGTGGGGAGGGCGCGGCCTTGCCCCCAGAGGACTCTCCAAGGCGGAGGGTAGGAGAGAGGACGGAGCAGGTGCCAAGGTGGGGTCCTGGAGCCTCGATGAGGGAAGAATCCTTCAGGACTCTGAGGCAATTGGGTCACAGTCCCTCCTTCCAGGGGCCCACCATCGAGGGGCCAGAAAATGCCTGCGGGTGGCCCGTCCTTTGATGAGGGCAACTCAGGATGCTTCACAGGGGCAGCCTCTCATGCTGGGGCACTCTGGGAGAGCTTCTGGGAGGAGGGGAGGTTTCAGCCAAGATATGAAGACGCCACATGAGAGCTGTCCAGGTCCAGAGGTGGAAGCCCAGACAGAGGGCCGGTGTGTGGGAACACTTGGCAGTGAGCGAGAACTTCGGGGTCTCGAGAACCACGTTAGGCTCTTCACCCAGGCTGGCTGCCAGCCCGTGATGGTGTTTGGTACTGCTAACACTCGCACCGAGACGCCCAGTGGGTGAGACGGGAAGAAGAGTTGTGGGGAGAGGAGGCAGCGCCGCTCACACAGGCGTGCAGCTCCCTGAGCTCCGTGGGAGCAGGGCACACGGGGTGACGAGCAAGCCCCTGCTCTTGTGCACCTATGGCCTGGGAGGAGACAGACCAAGGACACGCGAGCACAGTGCAATTGGGGTCTCAGGAAGTGCCGTAGAGACAATGTGGCGAGGGGGCTACTCAGGGAGGGCACCTCTGAAGAGGTGGCGTGTCAGCAAAGACTTGCGGGAGGTAAAGGAGCAGCCTGAGGCGCACCAAGGGAAAAGTGTTTCAGGGGCAGATGGCAGGTGCAAAGGCCCAGTGGTGGCCACGCTGGCGGTCTAGCTAGGAGCCGGGCGTGGAAGCAGCCACTCAAGGGCCACACCTCATAGGCCTTTTTGGATGTGGGTGGGAGCTGTCCTCCGTCATCGCATTGCTAACAGATAGCCGAGACTGGGTGATTTATAAAGAACAGAGTTTAGTTTGACCTAATTCTGGTGGCTGGAAAGGCCAAAGGCTGCACCGTGGCCTATAGAAGCAGAGAGAAGAGTGGGCGTGTGCAGAGGCCGCGGTGCGTGTCCCGGTCAGCTTGTCTCTCTCTCTGCTTCAGCCCGGCAGGACTCAGTCATGTGACTGCCAACAGCCAGTCTCTTCCCAAAGTTCTCACCTTTTTTTTCCTTTTCTTTTTTTTTTTAATTAAAAACTTAGAAACTGTAAGTAACATAGTACGAAGAATGTCACCTCTAGCCATCTGCAGAGGGACATGTCAATGAACAAGCTGACTCACCCAGAAGAATCTGAGAAAGTTTCAGGAATCAAAGACACTAGGGGTGACCTCCTTACCCTTCTCCATTTTCCTATGAAGTGATCAAAGATGAAGAGGAGAATTGTTTATTTTTATTATTATTTTTTGAGAGTTTTTTTTTTTTTTTTTGCTATAGGGCGTGTGTGTTCTCCAGGAAGGCAGAGAGAGACAGAAAGACAAAAGGCGAGATATCACCCCCCAGGGACGATGGCCACGCCGCAATCTCGACTACATAGGAGTCCAGCAACAACATAGCCATTACGCTAACTGCTGGTCCCCCCAAAGTTCTCACCTTTAAAGTAATATCTGGATCAGATTTTTACCCTTTTGATCCTATTACAGTACCCCAATACTTGACTTTAAGGGCACGTTTCCAAACTACAGAGGGTGCTGCAAGAGCTGTGTGAGCAGGGCACGAGCTGAAAACCACCCTGGCAGTCGTGGGGATTGGTGGAGACAGTGGTTCCATGACTGGTGACTGATGGTGGCCTGGATGATGACAGGAGCTGTGGTGGGGCCAAGAAGGGGTTGGGTTTTGGGGGTGTTCAGAGGGGAGAGCCACAGACTGCTGATGGGCTGAACCCTCTGAATAAGGGGGAGCCACGGTGTCATGGTGAAAGACAGGGATGGTGTGGTCATCCTCACAGCTGGCCCCCCTCCCTGCTGGCAAGAGGCCTGAGAGGAGAGGTGGGGTCGCCTGCATTCACCATGGGCCCCCGTGCCCTGCACCGATCTGGCACCAAGCAGGTGCTCCATGAAAATGGGGTGCCTCAGTGGCTGAATCTAGGCCCCCCAGCCAACACCTTCCATGTCCCAGCCCCAAGCCTTGCAGTCCTACTTCCTGCTTCCTGGAGGCTGCACGACGTGGGAGTTGGTACTGCATGGGGCCGGGAGCCTGACCGCTCCAGTCATCCCTCTGTCATGGGTCCTTCGTTCCATGCTGGGTTCTATGGGGAACCCCGGAGGTGAACAGACACAGCCCTGCCCCTCTGGTGGGGGACAAGGCCAAGGCCAGAGGTCAGGCATACTGTTGCTCTGATCAAGGGCAACCAGGCCGGGAGATGGCTTACCTAGCCAGGGCCCTGAAAGCCCTCACCAGGCAGGTGGCCTGAGAGAGGTCCTCGAAGTCCTTCCAGGTGAGGGTCTCATGACCCTTAGGGGGGCGTGCAGGTAGGCGTTAGGCTGGGGGGGAGTGGGGGACAAGGCCAAGGCCAGAGGTCAGGCATACTGTTGCTCTGATCAAGGGCAACCAGGCCGGGAGATGGCTTACCTAGCCAGGGCCCTGAAAGCCCTCACCAGGCAGGTGGCCTGAGAGAGGTCCTCGAAGTCCTTCCAGGTGAGGGTCTCATGACCCTTAGGGGGGCGTGCAGGTAGGCGTTAGGCTGGGGGGGAGGGGGGCGGCAGGCGGACAGGAGCCTGGCCATGGAGTCTTGGGTGCCATGAAAGGCTTCTGAGCAAGTGAGCAGCCGGGGCTGGGTCGGGAGCTCCCTGGCAGCAGTAGGAGGCTGAGCTGGAGGTGACAGAGGCGGGAGCTCAGCCCAGCGGCTGCTCCGGGAGCCCAGGAGGTGGCGGTGGGCCAGGTGAATTGCTCTCCCGTTTGGACTGTGCCTTGGGTTTCACATGGTGGGGTTTCTGAAAACTGGCTCCTCTGTGATGCTCAGAGTCCTCCCAGATGGAGTGAGGGGCATTTATTTATTTATTTATGTGTGTATGTATGTATGTATGTATGTGTTTTTGCCTCAGGGCCTGTGTGCTCCGCTAGAGAAAGAGAGTGAGGGCCCAGAGGAGATGACCACATCAAGTCTCTTCTCTTTGTGGGATTTTGGGCTTGTGCCTACACATGCCCAGCGTGATTTTCAAGCCACTGGGTCTGGGACATGAACCACAGTCGACCATGTGGGAGTCCAGCGCCTTAACCACTATGTCATCTGCTGGCCCCGCGAGGGGCATTTATGAGGGAGGGAAAATCCACAGAGAAGGCCTGGACTGGCAGGTGGGAGGAGGGAAGGGAGGCCTACTGGGTGCTTCCGGGGGTGGCTCCCTCTGGCGTCTCCACTGACAGACCAGGGGCGGCCCTGAGCTTCGGTTCCCTTCTGCACACTGGTGCTGGGAGGCAGTGGAGCCCAGTGCAGGCCTCAAGAGAGGTGGCATGGGTCTGCAGCCGGGCTCTGCCGGCTGTGTGACCTCAGCTGAGCTGCTCGACCCCTCTGTGCTTCAGCTGTCTCCTCCATAAAACGGGCACGGTAAGATAACCTGCATAGGCTTCTTACCCGACAGAGTGTGCACGAAGCACTGGAAACTGTCGACATGGGTGTGGCCTGTTGGGGGGGTCTGTGCCCCCAAGTCCCTATGACTCCATGAGACATCCTGAAATAGCTCCTTGGCAGTCTAGACTGAAAGTAAAACTGGGGTGTGGTCTCCCCTGGGGAAGGGAGGGGGCCCGGGGCTGGGTGAGGGCAAGGAGCTGGCCCCTCATTTGGGCTCTCCCTAACCCGGCCACTTCTCTCGGGTTGTAGGGGACACAGGTGGCCCGCCAGGGCAGGGGTCGCTCCAGGCGGGGAACTTGAGCCTGCTTTGCCTCCTATGCAAGCGTCCCAGCCTCCTGCCCTGTCTGTTTCCCGTTTCTCACCAGGAGTGCCGCAGACAGTTCTGGAAAGTGGGTGGGGTCATCTCCCCTCCACCTTATTGCCGCCCTGGCCAGCGGTCCCCACAGCCCGCTGCTGGTCTCCTTCCATTCAGAAGGCACCACACGTCCTTGGCAAACGCCCCATTGCAAATGCTAGGCTCTTCCCAACCTGGTCTGTTTTCCTGCCAGGATGCCCGTGGCCGAGGCCCACCAAGCAGCTGGCGGGCAGGGCGATGGAGGTGAGGGCGAGGAAGCGGAGCCAGAGGGGATGTTCCAGACCCCGGAGGACCCCAAGAGAAAAGCCCGGGACTACCTCCGTCTGGCACCGCTGTGGCTGGCCCTGGTGGTGCTGGCGACCGTGGGGGTGCTGCTCTGGTATTTCCTAGGTAAGGGTAAAGGCCTGAGGGGCGTGACTAGGGGAGGACTTGGAGTGGCCATGGGAGGCACAGCGACCCAGCATCTCCTTGCTCTCCGGGTCTGCCTCCTCTCCCGCATGGCGGAAAGGTGATTGGACCCCTTCTGGGTCCTGTGACTCAGTCTGCTCCCAGCTCAAGCCACATGCCCGTGGGGAAGGAGCTTCTGGAGGAGGGTAAACACTGCCTTCCCTTGCCTGCAGTCCTCCTGGGTTGCCCCTGAGGCTGGGAACCAGCCAGCTCTGCTGGAGGAGGCCCAGAGGTGCTGGTGGCGCCTGGTACCAATTAGTGCCTCTGCTCACCGAGCCCAGCTGGGGGCTCCTCGGGGGTGCGGACCACAGTTCTATCACCTCTGGGTCTCCAGGGCCCAGCATGAGTGGGAGGGGAGGGAGCCAGGAGCTGCCAGGCTTAGGGGCCTCTCCTGTGCCCCTAACTTTGGCCCTCCTTCCCTTCCTCACATTACAGCCCTCAGTGAGTCCCTGGAGGCCCAGGAGCAACTGGCTCACACTCTGGGTCGCCCTTCATCCATCCGCTCTTCATTCATTCACTGAACAAATGCTCTTGGGCATCTACAGCATCTTTCTCTGTACCCCACTCAGGGGAAGACTCACTCATTTGTCCAGTGCCGAGCGCCTCCTGTGTGCTGGGTTCTGGGAACAGCCCCTGCCCGCGTGACTTACTGCAGAGTCAGACATGACAGCCTTGCTAACACGTGCCTATGCTAGGATGGCGGACGCCGAGGGGCTGGGGCAGCCTGCCAGGGGCAGCCCAGCTTGCCCAGGTGACCGGAGACATCCCACTCAACGTTAGGCCGAAAGCAGATATTCTTGGGGTGGGGGAGCATGCATGCACACCTGCCTGGTGTGTTCTTCTAGCCTCTGGGTCCGGGACTCAACCACTCTTGCGTCCTGTGGGAATCTAGCTGCCGTAACAACCACACCAGCTGCTGGCCCTAAGACTCATAGCGGAATTCCAGGGACCCCCTGTGGAGCAGCAGGGAGCTAGACCTACCCAAGCCTAGCTGCAGAGGGCCCGGTGGGGACTGGCCGGAACCAGCCTCCGGGGTGTCACCATTGGAACCCCAGGTCTTATTGGACCTGCTTGCTCTGACTTACAGCATGGATGGTGGATCCACGTGGAGCTGAGCAACGCAGACAGGGCGGAGATGCTGTGTGCATTTCACCACCGGCAGGAAGCCAGCACCCCAAATAGCTCAGGGCATGGGCCTCCTTGGGTAGCAGGATAATTAGTCTTCAGGGTAAACCACAGCACCCTGGGCTGCCAGGAACTCACCCGCCAATTGCCTTCCAGCGGAGTCTAGTTCCTCCTGATTACACTCTGGGGTGAATTGACCCTCCCCTACCCCAGGAGGGGTGCTCTTTGGGCTGAGAATGGACCAGGGGGAAAATGCTCCCAAGCCTCAGCTGGGGGAAGCCACCCCCCCCACTCCACCCCAGGAGGAAGGGTAGGAGAGGCACTTTGAAGCTGTTTGAACAACTCTTCTGCCTGGTAGCTTTGCCCCAGGTGCTGAGCAAGGACACCTGCCCTGAGCACACTGGAGCAGGGTGAGCCGCAGGCCACGAGCAGGTGACAGGTCAGTGGCAGCCAGGAGAGGGCGGGGACTGTGTTCCGAGGCAGACAGCCATGGCTGTGCAGGTCCAGGTCCAGTCCATGCAGGGCTCTTCCTGCCCCCTGCTGCATTGCCTGGTCTTTTCTCCTGTTCCTAGATGGGGGCTTCATGTGTCTTCTAGAACCTCCTGCGCCAGCCCCCTCTTTCCTTCTGCCTCAATGAGGAAATCAAACCTCTGGGAAGAGAAGCCCCACAGGTGCTCGCCCGCTGCACCCCTGCACTCTGCCCCTGTCCAGTCAGGGGAGCCATCTGGAGCCAGCTCTCCTCCTGGCCATGGCCCTGTGGGACCCTTCTCCCCTCCAGCAGCATCCATGGCTGTCCCTTGGGGGCCACCCCATCTCTCGGTGCCCTTCACCACAGACTCCTGGAAGGAGCTGTCTGCAGGCTGCGCCTCCGACCCTCCCCTGAATCTCTCTGTTGCACTTTCCAGTCTGCACCCCCACCCGTCCTCCATCCTCCATCCCTTTGTCCTCTGATGGCACTTGCCAAGGTCGTTGATATGCATATGTCCATGTGTTACTAAATCGGCATCCAGTCCCCAGTCGCCCTCGCATTTAACTCCTCCTCCCTGAAACTCGCCTCCCTGGGTTCCAGCCTTGCATCTTGACCCTCCCCAGCTCCCAGCGGTTTTCCTCTGTGTCCTTGGCTGACGGAGGGCTCCTCCTTCTCTACACCTACTTTCATTTACTTATTTTTTTAATTTCCCAGAGGCCACATGCACTTGTTGGAAAGAGACAGAGAGGGGCCGGTGGGTGGCGTGGTGGTTGAGGCGCTGGACTCCCACATGGCTGACCATGGTTCGAGTGTCGGGCTTGGTGGCTTGTGTTCTCACTTTCCCTCTCTCTGTGTCTCTCTTTGGTAAAATTAAAATAATTGAATAAATAAGTAAAAGTAAAGAGTTTTTAAAAAAAAAAAAAATATTTGAAGAGAGACAGAGAAAGTGAAAAGCACCTTCCCATGGGGAATGTTACACAGCCGCCCCATCTCCTTCCCCCTCCTTTGGGGATTTTGGGCACACGCACGGACCCAGCGTGTTTCTCAAGCTGTGGAGTCCAGGACTCGGACCACACGGTCAGCCACGTGGGTCCAGCTGCCTCAACCGCCATGCCATGGGCCATGGATTGGCCTACTCCGCCTGCTTCCATGACCTCATTTTTGTGGCTTTAAAGGTATCCTTTTATACCCTGACGACTCCCGAATTTGTATTGGGCTGTCTGGAAAGTCATGACGCATAGAAAAACAGAAAAGTATGTCTTGGGAACCAGCAGTTAGCGTAATGGCTATGTCGCTGGACTCCCACGTAGTCGACCGCGGTTCGCGTCCTGGACCCGGTAGCTTAAAACTCACGCCAGGCATGTGTGCGTGCATGCCCAAGATCCCGAGAGAAGAATGGAGGAGAAGGGATTGCGGCGTGACCATCCCCCCCGAGGGGTGATTTCTCACTTTCTGTCTCTCTGTCTCTCTCTGTCTGTCTGACGAGCGTACACGCCCTATAGCGAAAATCTCTCCAAAAAAAAGAAAGAAAAACAGAAAAGTATGTCTTGACTACCCCGATGACCTAATATTTCCAGCCTGGTTCTCCTCTGAACTTGCTTCTACCATCCTTCCCCCTTCCTGATGGCTAAGGGGCACCTCAGACCCGTGAGTTCAGAATGCATTTCCCCTACTCCTGTGTCCCCACACCCAGCAGGCAGCCACTGCACCCTCCCTTCCTCTCTGGCTTGCCCACCCCAGCTCCTCTGCCAGCCAGCCAGCTCATCTCAAACCCCCACGTACACCCTGACGCCCTGTCGGCCATCGCACTCGAGCCTGGGGTCCATCGGCCTCCCCTGGACAGTCTTCCCTGGGCCCCGGCACCAGCCTCCTCGCTGGTCTCTCCTTCGGTCTCCCTAGGCCCTTTCTCACTCTAGCAGCAGAGACCGTCTGTAGAGCCACCCAGTTGTCACTTCTCGGTGGAAAGCCTCCCGCAGCTCCCAGCCCACTCAGAGCAGAAACCGAAGTCCTCCCAGGGCTTGCAAGCCCTCCGGGCCTCCCCCTTCCCCATCCCATCTCCCCCTTCTGTCTCCTGTCCTTGTAATCCGCCGGAGCCCTGATTCCCACCACACTTCCTCCGCCCCGCGTGTCGTATATGGTGCTCGCTGTTTACCACCCGTCATGCGAGACGCTGCCTATCGTCCCTGCCAGACGGCAAACTCTCGATGGCAGGTTTCTCCTCCTTGTTCTGCTCACTGTCATACCGACACACTCCCAAGTGCTGTAGACCAATCCCCACACACAGTATGTCCTCAAGAAATATGCTGAGCAGATGAATGAATGAAGGAATGAGTAGAGTGACAAGCCAGTCTGGATCAATCTCTTCACATCAGCCAAAACGGTCTCTACACAAAGGGATCTGATGACATCACCCGACCCCACCCTCCAGAGGTCCTAGCCGCACGCCACCCTGCCCCCTCCCTGACTGCCCCAGACAGGCTTTTGGTTCTGGTCCTTCCCAGGCCTCCTGCCTAGAGGTGCCTCCCTCCCTCCGTCTTCTCAGTTTGCGGTTTCTCAGACCTCAGATCTCAGCCGGAGGGGCAGGGCAGCTCAGCCCTGTCACTCTGCCACGTCCCCTCCATAGCCCCTGGTGTCGCTCCGTCTCACAGACCTGTGTGCTGCAGGTTACTGGGGAGGTGTGCCTGCTTTGGTCGCCTGGTGTGCCCACACTGCAGGTACTCCACACTTCCTGTGGAACCCCGGGCAAGCAGGGAAGCAGAAGGGTGCATGGAGGTGTTAACCCACAACCTTGACCCTGACCTTGGGCCCTGTGGGTTTCCTGGCCTTCGTTTCCTCCTGAATCAGCCACTGTGTCAGCCTCTTGAGAGTCTGTGACTGTGGGCCCTCCCTCCATGGGCCTCTCAGTTTGTCACCAAATAAGCCTTGAATGACCATGATAACAATGACAAAGATGGCGGTAGTGATGGCTCCCTAGAGGCCAGAGACGCTGAGGCTGAGCCGAGGTATCGGGGTGGCAGGAGAAGGCGTAGGAGAGATGGGAGCCTTTCTCGCCTGCTCCCTTGGCTAACCCTGCTGGTTCCTTCCTGGGCAGCGTACAAGGCGCAGGTGACCGTCAGCCAGGTGTACTCAGGCAGCCTCCGGGTGCTCAACCGCCACTTCTCCCAGGACCTTGCCCGCCGGGAATCCAGTGCCTTCCGCAGTGAAACTGCCAAAGCCCAGAAGATAGGTGGGGGGAAAGGAGAGGGAGGGAATACTAGGGGCAAGAGAAAGTGGAGCAGGTTGAACCCATCAGACCAACTGGTCGACCTGTCCAGAGTTCTACTTCCTGGGAGTAGAATGTGACCTTGGGCACACATGCACCCAGCATGAGTTGAAGTCACCCAAGATCCTGAGAGGAGAATGGAGGAGAAGGGATTGTGGCGTGGCCTTCTCCCCTGGGGGGGGGGGTGATTTCTCCCTGGCTAGGACTTAACAATAATAGGTTGAATAAGAATGGTGAAGGTCGACATTCTTATTTTATTTTAGTTCTTATAGAAAAAGGTTTTGGTTCAGCCCATGGTGTGGTGGTTAAGGCAGCTGGATCCCACAAGTGCACAGTTGAAGTCCCAGACCTGGAGGCCTGAGAGACACGTCCGGAGCATGTGTGCATGTCCCAACTCTCAACACGGGAGAGAAATTGAGAAGGGACTGTGATGTGACCATCTCCCATGGGGGGGGTGCTTTGGGTGCTTTCTCACTTTCTTTCTTTTTGTCTCTCTGTGGCAAGTACATATGCCCTCTGGCCAGAAAGAAAAGTTTTCAACTTTGCCTCGTTTATTATGATGTTAGCTGAGGGGTTGCCATATCTGTCTATTGTATTGAGGTCTGTGCCTTCTTCTTCTTTCACAGGGTATGTGTGCTCACCAGAGAGAGACAGAGAGAGAAATCACGCCCTAGGCAGGATGACCATGCCACAATCCCTTCTCCATTCTCGTCTTGGGATTTTGAGTACACACCTACATACACCTGGCATGATTGTCAGGCCACCAGGACTGGGACTTTAACAGTGGTTAGCCCTGTGGGAGTCCCGTATCGTCACCATCACGCCACCTGCTGCTCCTGAGGTACACGGCTTCTATACCTAAGTCGTTGAGCATTTTTGTCATGAAGGGATGTTACATTAAAAGAATGTGACCTTGGGAACAGAGCAGCCTGGCTGCTGAGAGCAGGTGCAAGAGGAGACCCAGGTGACAAGGGGCAAGTGGGGGTGGGGCCCAGGGTCACCAGGCCACCGTCTCCCGCTCACAGCTCCAGGAGCTCATCGCCAGCACCAGCCTGGGCACTTACTACAACTCCAGCTCCATCTACGCCTTTGGGTGAGTGTCCCCAGCTCCCACCCAGCCCTGCTAGAAGGTATGACTTCAGAACGGGAGGGGACCCTGCAGGCTTCTGGTGCAATGCCCCCATTTTTAAAATGAGGCATGGGGAGGGTAGGCCCCGTTCGTTGGGATTGGTTTCCTCATCGTACACGGGCTGGTGGGTGGTCGGATCTAACTAGGCAGTGACCGTGGTGGGTTAATCAGGGCCGGGCACCTGTGAGGTGAGGCTGGTGTGCTGGCGGCTGCGAGCCCAGCCATTCGTCCCCGTGGTCTGCACTGACGGCCTGCTCTGTGGCTCACGGCTTACTCCCGTGCCTCAGTTGCCTCACCTGTAAGTGGGAGACATGTCTCTCCGTGGAGAGAACCGTGCCAGGTGGCACTAAGCACTCAGCACGCACCAGCCAGGCAGGGGGCCAGGCAGGGACCCGCAGTCAGGCTCCTTCCCACCCCTCGCTCCTGCCTGCCTCAGGGAAGGATCCCTCACCTGCTTCTTCTGGTTCATCCTGCAAATCCCCGAGCACCGCCGGCCAGTGCTGAGCCCCGAGGTGGTGCGGGCGCTGCTGGTGGAGGAGTTGCTGTCTACAGCCAACGGCTCGGCGGCCCCAGCTCCCTACAGGGCTGAGTACGAGGTGGACCCCGAGGGCCTGGTGATCCTGGGTCAGTACGGGGAGGGGAGTGTGGGGTCGGCCTGGCCAGGCCGGGACCGAGG